CCCCCGCCCCCCTGCAAACAGGCAATGGATGGGCTGCACCCACTGACAGTCTGGCAGCGGGCAGAGCTGGGAAGCTTGGCGGCAAGTCTCCAAAAAGGCTTGAAAGCTTTTCAGCTAAGATTTAGGATCACTGTAAGATAAAGCTTAGCCAGGAAAAGCTCTCCAACTTTTACAGACCACTGCAGGGGTGTCTGGGAACCCTAGGCCAAGGACCTGGTTTCCTAAGGATTTACCAAATGGTCCTTAACCTGCGTAATTTCCTGTCAGATTTGATCTTGGTTACACATGGAGTTTTCACAAGACTGTGCCGATCAATTACAACTACATCACCACACTTCATGCAAATATAAAGCCTATCATGTGTGCTGTGTGCATTACACACAGGCACATGTTATTGACCTGGGCACAGTATATATATGCAAATATAGACCAATTCACCAAAGAAAGGTGAGCTTCCGGCCTCCCTCACACTCCTCGTTTAAGGCAAGAGAACCTCTCAACAAGCAACTGCAGGCCCAGACTTGTTTCACTCGCCCAAACTCAGAACGCCCCATCCAAAGCCCTCACAGTCAGACAGCGCATCATGAGCTAGGAGGTCACTTCCAACTCCGAAGGGCTTTTCTGAGCAGAAATAGCTCACCAGACACACATGTGGTTCAAAGCTCAGAATGTCAACTACACCTCTTTGAACAAGAGTTTCAGCTTTTAAGTCTTGATCCTGGATATGAAACCCAGGGGCAACCCTGCCACTTAGCAGCTGTCATTTATCAGCCAGCTTTAAGGTTCTTGCGCCAACTCCATCACAAAGCTATTGTGACCATTCATTCCACTTCAATTGTGTGCTGAGTGGTGAGATAATGCAATGAACACAACAGCCTGAGTTTATTCAGTTATTAAACAAGTGGAGACGGTATGCGGTCACTACAGAAACGACAAGCACAATGTGATTAAAGATGATTTGGATGAACCAGGGTAAATAAAGGCACAGGGAATCTCTCTCTCTCTCTCTC